TAGCAAAGCACAGGGACCGCGGTTCAATCCCCCAGCACCACATGCCAGCCAGCCCTGCCCCCTGGTGGGCTGAGCTGGCCACACACAAATAAATAAATAAATAAAAATTTTAAAAAAATGTATTTGTATGTAATATAAAAATCGTTATATAAATTCTTTCAAATTGTAATTGAAATAAATTCTAACAGATTTAGCTAAACATTATGAAGAGTAAAAAAAAATCTTTAGAAAATGTAATGGCAGGTAGCAATGTAAAGTTGCAATATACTCAGTAATGCTTTTCATAGTATATTCAAAGAAATCTAAGTTTAGCAGTTTTTAATATAATATTGATGATGAAGGTGTGGATTATAACAACTAACACTTACTAAATTCTATTTTGGGCATTGCTCCAAATAGTTTGTATTCATAATTCTAATTCCAATTCTGCTTGATAATTTAAATAATCTATTTCTCCCCAATCACTCTCCTGTCTAGAGCTCAGAGAACACCCAATCCTGTCTATAGAATGCAACATAAAATTGTTACTTCGTTGGAATGGAAGTGCTGCCCGGGGTACAGTGGACCAAACTGCCAGCTAAAAGGTAGGCTCTTATAAATTTTGTAATCGGAATCAGAAGCGTAAAAATTCTGATGAATAAGCAGTTTATCCCTTATTAACTTCCCCTTAGTGAGGGAAAAAAGCTGAATTTCCCCTTTTTTTTTTTTTTTTTTTTTTTTTTTCTGGCAGAACCAGGGATTGAACTCAGGCCCTTGCACTTGCCAGGGAAGTGCTTATTCCACTGAGCCATCTCCCCAGCCCCTAAATTTCCCCTTTTGAACAAAACTAAACTAACATGTAGCCAAAGTATTAGAATTATACTTTTAAAGTTACCTGAATTGTGAACTATTTTATTATCCTAACACCTTGTAAGCTGTCGTGTAACTTGTGCCCCCATTGTCAGCTCAGTTTTATAGGATGCATGTGTGGACAACTGGCTAAATAGCTTACCTGTTTTTAACTAAGTGGTACAAAGATATAGCTTACTGAAATATAAGAAGTGCAATTTTATATTTCTAAATAATTATCAGAAGGGATCATGCAAAAATAACTTCCCTCTAATTTTATTCTACTTCATTTGAAGTAACATGTGTATGAGTGAAATTATATGGTAAAGAATACTGTGTAGTGAGACCCTGTACCAAAATACACACAAAGAAAAGAATATACCACATACACTTTGAATGTATTTTTAAATCCTAATGGAGTCAAGTTTTTCAACTGAGATTTTAAGCATTTTCTGGTGGGAAGACTGATCAAACACATGGTAACCCAAGGTGGCCTAACATCCATGTGACTATTATTTTGCTTTGGGCTTTAAGCAGGTTTCTTTTGAATAATACGATATGGCATCAGCATGCATATTTTAAATGAATGAATATTACAAGAACGACCATTAGCAGTGGTGGGGAATTCAATCAACAGTGAAAGAGACTGTGATTAAAAATTAATATGTGTGGAGAAACCATTATGATTCACATTACAAGAAAGAAAATCATAGAACAAGAGCTCTAGGACCCTTGCAGTTTAGTTAGTGATGTTATATATGGCTTTGCCAGCTCATACAATGAGAAACGGTAGGCAAATGTCTGCAGTGCTATGGGTTCTGAGTCTAGCTTGAATTTCAATGATATAAAATTCAGTGCATTTCCAGGCTGTGGCATGAATATGTACTGCATTATTAATCAGGTAAAATAAACTTCTAAAGAAAATATGATCCATACTGGAAATACTTGGAAATGAGTTAGTACAGTATACTCTGAAAAAGCCCAAGGGTAGCCCTGCTTCCAAAGCACTTTCTGTGAGTTGTACAAATACTCACAATTTTAAAATATATCCTTTCCTATCCATATTTTTAAATAATTTAAAATTCTAGACAGTACTTATAATTATACTTCTAAGGTTTACATTTCTATTATATGGAGAATGATATCTTGGGAATGTTAGTTCTATTACTATTTTTTAAGTTTCAATGGTGTGTTTCCAGAATGCCTTCCTAGAAATGTACCACCTAAACGTTAATGCTGTTGCCTAAAAGGGGCTGAAGATATGTACATGGCAGGGAGCAGGGTCTTCGGATCAAAGACTCACAGGTCCCCCTTGATGAGGACTGCTATTTCTCCACACTTCGGGCTTTTATACTTGTTGATCAATTCTTAGTCACTGTGACGGACTATATACATGTCGGAAGAAAAAAGAGACATAGAACTTCTTTACTATAAGGCCAGCCAAATAGCTAAGCGGATTAAAGCATCTGCAAGCAGGCGTAGGGGTCTGGGGTTCAATTCCTGGGCCTTCTGTGCTGGCCCCGTCCTCCGGGCGCACTGAGATAGCTATTGAGACTGGGCGTGGTGGCACATGCCTGTAATCCCAGCTCTTGGGAGGCTGTAAACAGGCGGATCACTACAAATCTGATTCTGAACACCCTGTAGAAACTTCCCTAATACAAAAAAAAAAAAAAAGAACTTCTTCACTATAAATATATACAGTATTTATTTGACAATCCCGAATATCTATAATGTGCTAAATCCTATTTTTTCAAATTATTGTATCAACTATTCAAATCATGATCAGGTGGTTCTATCTTTGATCACTTAAGTGAAAGCTTTCTGTGGATATCTTCATTACCAAATTTACAAATTATCGTCTTAATTCAAACTGACAAAAATGTCCCACAACAGATCTGCCTATGACCTTGCTGTCACAATCACATAACTACAACTACTCACAATTCAGATATCTGCTGATTAAGTGGCTGTGGAAGGCCTGTCTCTCATCCTGTGGCTCCCTACAATACTCTGCCCATCCTTCTCCTCACTTTTATGGCAGTCCATAAAACCACTGAATTTTTTATTACTGCAACTGATGTATTGGCAGGAACAGGAACTACTGCGTCCCTCTGTCACTGAGCCATTCTTCATTATCTCTATCCTGAGGGCTTTTCGCCACATTTTCTCTTCTGATAGCTACCCAATTACATGCCGAGTCCCCTGCACACTTCCTATCACATTTTATAAATGTGCCACTAGTCTTTTATTCTTCTGCAGTAGAGGAAATTATTCCCTGTAAAAATAAACAGTGTTTGACAACACTGTCCCTTCTGGCTCAGATGACAGGATGCCTCATAGATCAAGAACAATCACGTTGGCTCATCCATCCTTTAAGTCTCTTCTGAGCTCTCGCGAATGCAGAATAACCTGGCCTTGACAACTATTTCAGGGCGAGTCCCTTAGAGTGTCAAAATTATTTAATTCATAAAAATTTGTAAAATACTACATAACCTATAAACCAGGCCACCCCAACATGTGACACAAACTAAGTAAATTCCATGATAGGAAACAACAATTTCCTCTGATTTTAGATTTCACTTGGGAAAAATCCGTTAAATACCCAGGAACATCAATAGTTCAGGAAAAGATAGGAACTATGAGCTACTGAACTCTCTTTTTCTGCTTTTTCTCTGTTTTTCTACCTCTTTTTTTTCTTCTCTTTTTTCTCTACATTCATCCTCAGATCTCCATGGAGAAATGTTTTTCCTCATAATCCATGGGGCAACTTTTTCTGGTATCTTATTGGGCTGTGTTCTGATCTGCCACAGCCATATTTTACCTATGGCCCAGATAATCAGAATACTCTAGACAGAGTGGTAGGAGACCTTATTAAAATATCGGTCCTACTATCAAAAGGAAACCAATTATTAAAAAGTCTAAAGTGAATAGAGTATTACTAAAGCCATGTTAATTAAGTACAATATCAAAATATTAATTTTGGCATGATTTACTTTTGTATTGTCTTTTGGGGATCCTATAAGTTTACCTTAAAAAAAAGTCTGACTTTTGTTTTGGTTTGGGGCTTTTTGGTACTGAGGATGGAACTCTGGACCTTGTGCTTGCCAGGCAGGTGATTAAGCCTGCTGAGCTATATCCATGACCCAGGAATCTGATTTTGCGAAATGATTTTCGAGGCATTTTTTAAATATCAATAGTACCACACAACTTACACTTATTTTATGAATTTTGCAATTATACGCCTCTCCAGTAGGTGTCTCTAAGATATTCTGAAGTAAGACAAGAAAACTTGTTTTAGGGACACACAGAAAAGAAACTGAAGTTCAAAGTGTTATACTAGAAAAGCTGATAAAAAAAAAAACTTTCTTCAAATCTTTTTTATTAGTACATATTGGCTAATACATTCACTTTGGGGAATTGGTACATATGTATGTACAAATTTGTTTTTCTAAAAAAAAAAGTCTTTTTAATCCAGATTTTGTGTACAGGAAAAAAAGTATTATGTACAGTTAGGTTTTATAAACATAAATATTATATAGGCTGATATATAAATGCTGAAAAGATGAGAATATGCATGACTATGGAAATAAAGCAACCCCTACCATATGTTATAAAGAAGGAAGATTTTTATAAGCACTATGAAACAATTCAAATTATAGAACAAGTAGTGGAAGAAACATTTTAAATATGAGGCTTCTGCAGTGAGATTATTCTTAAAAATGTTCCAATAACATGCATAAAAGTTCTAGTGCTAAAGAGAGGGAAAAATCTATCTTCTTGTATCTTCACATACTTAGGTCTTTCCCATGTTCTTTTTCGGAGGAGACCTTCCCTCTCGCAAGTGTCACTCTAGTAGCATGCTGGTGCACTTGCTTGAACGCCACCCCTGAGGCTCTGCTGCACCACGCTGCCCGCCGCAGCCCCCTGGCACATCTGTACCTGTGCACCCAGCATCTCCCGTGCAAGCATCCTCTTGTGGGTGCACAGTCAGCTGGAAACCTGTCCTGGCAGGCCACCCAGGAGGCTCCCTGGCAGGAAAGGGGAGAGGGCAAGCGGGCTCATTACTGAGCTGCCATTAATGACTTCCTCCATATGCTCTAAGGCCTGGAAGGAGAGAAACACTTTCAAATAAAACCTGTCTAATTAAAGAAACTTAACTAATGAGGGAGCGGAAGTTCTTGCTTGTGCTCAGCAACCTTGCTTCTCTAAGTCCTTGATCCACCAACGTCAGAGATTTCACTGTGGGCTGTCAGGCTTGTAGGGCGGGGTCTCGGAGAGTTCTTAGGTTGTCAGATAAGACCAAAGAAGTTCATGTTTAAACCTATACTGCATTCTAAAACATCTGAACTGCATGAAAATGTTTCAGTTTTGTGGATTTCAATAAATGCTTTTGGTCCCTGCACCTACGACTTAGAAAGGGCCAAGAAAGAGAGGCTTAGAAATGGGCACCCAGCAGAACAAATCAGAAGTCTGTGCTTTGTTGAAAAAGATGATAGATTGCTTGGAAACCCTAGAATCTGTAGCAGTCTTTGTGGTGGAAGATACATTTGGGGAGACAGAAAAATTGTAAATGAAGCAGTAAAGAAGCATTGATCAACAAGGCTCTTTATCACAGGAGAGTAACCGACTCCACTGGCAGAGATCCTATCGGGTCTTCGCGGCCACAAGTTAAATCCTGTGCAATAAATTGGGATGAATGCAAGTATTGAACTCCAGTTGACAAACAGAGCGAGGAAAAGATAACATGAACTATTGA